TGATTGTTCTAGTTTGTTCTTCATTGCTGTGACAAAATATTCTGACCAATACCAACTTGCGGAGGAAAGGGTTTATTTATCTTACATCTCCCGGGTCACAGTTCATCAGGGAGCCCAAGGTAGAAACTCAGGGCAGGAACCTGGAAGCAGGAGCTGGAGCACAGGCCATGGAGGAATGCTGCTTACTGACTTGCTCCCCTGGCCCCTGCTCAGCCTGCTTTCTTATGGAACATAGGCCCACCTGCCCAGGGGTGGCACCACCCACAGTGGACTGGGCCCTCCCATATCACTCATCAAGAAGATGCCCCTCAGAATGGCCACAGGCCAGTCCAATAGAGGCAGTTCCCCAATCGAGGCTCCCTCAATCCAGGTGTGTCAAGTTGAGCTAAAGCTATCCAGCACAATGATATTTCATTAAATGTAAGTTTGGGGCAGCAATTGGATCATCTCTATTAATTCACACGCTTCTCTTTTTTACCTGCTGTTGTTAGAGCACCATTAGTAACTGCACTAAATATGTTGACAGTGAACAAAGAACATCGCTTTAACATGTTTTTACTGCTTCATATAAGCATTTTGATTTAGTTGTGTCTTTTGATGGAACTGAAGAAGCCCTTCACATGACATTGTTGGTCATCAGTACCTCTCATAACAATAGCTGGTTGAACTGTGTTTATAGCATTAGTGGTGTGATCCTTTGCACAAAATTTTAAATTGATGGCTCTACTTTCCAAACTTCTGTCCAGAGATTTTCCAAGTTATTTAATTCACATGACTGGAGTCTGTTGAGACAAACTGATCTTAGAAAAATCTTCCCTTTGGGGGGCATGCCGTATCTTCCACACTCACCACACCTTTCCTAATAAAGTCACCATCATATGATTTTGATTTTTTTGCTATTAAATATGCAGCTACATAATAAGCTTTTATAACAGAACCCCTCTGAGTTGTAACCTTAACAAAATAATGTTGTTGATAATACAGTTGTTTTATACTGTTTTGTTCTTACAATTCAGTCCTTGATATACACTGAATTTGGCAGTGCATTTTTGCATATTATGATTTTTCATATTATAGTCTTTGAAAACTTTTACAAATTTTTTACAAATTAAGCAGAGGCCTACTTGCATCAAGTCAAAGGTCATTATCTGTCTACTTTTATTGAATAGTTTTTTTTTCAATTGTAATTTTTTCTTTTGGGGAATTCTGTTTTGTTTTTTTTTTTAATAGAAGCATTCTAGGACTGAAAAAGTAATGATGGATAAGGGACTATATTTACTTTTAAAAATGATTATTGAATTTTTGTGATTGCTATACATTTTGATGATATTTAGATCCCCTCCACTATCTGCACCTCTGCTTATTGCCCTCTACCCAATTTAATGTACTTTATTGCATATGTATATATAATAGGGTCTATAGAGCCCAATTTGTGTCCCCAAATGCCTTTCGGTGTGGGTCCATCTGTAGGAGCCTGGTTAACCTACCAAGAATCCCATGCTTGAAAGAGGCTGTCCCTGCCCCTCCCAGCAGCCATCTGTTGCCACAGTTTCCTTAGGTGTGGTTGAAGCTTCTTACTCACTTCCTCATGTCTGTGCTGGGATTTTGTCTGAGTTTTCATGGGACTTGTGTATGTTGCCACAATTGCTGTGAGTTCATATGAGTAACTGAAAAGCTGTCTGGAAAACTCTGTTTTCTTGTGGTCACCCTCCACCTCTGGCTCTTATAATTCTTCTACCCCTTCTTCCCCACTGTTCCCTGAGCCTTGAGAAGCAGAGGTTTGATATAGGCATCTTATTCAGGGATGAGTACTCTGCAGCCTCTTGTTCTCTGTACATTGACCAGTTGTGAGTTTCTGTGTTAATCACCATCTGCTGCATTAGGAAGCTTCTCTGGTGAGAGTTGAGAGATGCATTTATCTTGGTAGGTATCTCTTTCCCTAGGTTTGGGACGTTTTCTTCTATGATTTCATTAAAAATATTTTCTGTGCCTTTGACCTGGTTTCTCCTCCTTCTTCTATGCCTATGATTTGTAGGTTTGGTCTTTTCACAGTGTTCCAGAGGTCTTGCATACTCCATTCCTGGCTTATTTTAGATTTTCTTGATTGAGCGATCCACTTCTCCAAGCTTGTCTTCGAGGTCTTTATTCTCTGTTCTGTTTCCTCCATTTCCTTTTTGTTTCTTTTCTCTGAACTTTTTGAGTTCCTGAGTTTTTTATTTCAAGTTTTATTTAAGATTCGCTTTTCTTCCGGGATTCTCTTTACTAAATTCTAGATTCATGTTTTGAATGGTTTTAGTTATTTCATTCAACTGTTTTTGTTTTCAAGGTCTTCACTCAGTTTTTTATTCATATCCTCTTTGAATTCCTTGAACATATTTATAATTGCTCTTTGAAATCATTGTCTTCACATCCACTTGGTTGCCATTCTTAGGAAACATTTTGATGGGGTTGTTAATTTCTGTAGCAGCCATTTTATCTTGGTTAGTCATGTTGTTTGTGTTTTTTTTTTTGCTGAGGCCTGGGCATCTGGACTTGTGTGGTGGTGTGTCTTCATATGGGTAAGTGATCTTATCCTTGTTGAGTGTTTGTATCTTGTTTGTTGTATTCCCAACTCATCAGATTATGACCCAGCTGAGTAGTGCTTAGTGTTCAGTTTGGGGACCTCTTTATGTTGGTGTACAGTTCTGGTGAAAGAACTGGTCTCAGTTCAGCTAGAGATAAGTACAACTTTTGAGTTGTGATTTCAGGATTGACTGCACAGGATTCTGGATCAGCAGGGTGGGATGGAACAGGTCAGCTGGTAGGTTAAGAGTGGGAGTTTGCAGATCTGGGGCAAAGAGAGCTCAGATGGCTGGGTACAGGGAGGTCTTAGGGATCAAGCTTAAAGCTACAAGTCTGAGGTGGGGAAGGATCCTAGAGACCAAGGCTTGGCTGAGAGCTGAGACAGTAGGAATTGACTCACTCTGCCAAGATGAGGTACTTGCAGATTCAGGATGGGATAGGATCCCAGTGACCCAGGGAAGTCTGAAAGCTAAGATGGCAGAGCTCTAGGGAGTCTCATGGAGCTTCAAAATCATTTTTACTTTTATTATGAATATTAAGTGACAGGAAAACAGAAAGGTTTGGTGCTCTCTTCTACATCTCAGCTGCAGAAACAGTGGGAGGTGGAGGGCTGATTGTAAAGTGCAGTGGATGATGCTTAACACATAGACAATGTGTGGAAACACCCTTAATGATCAAATAATCATACTTACCTGTCTTCTAAAAAACAGCAAATACGTATCATTTGCAATCATAAGTTATAACATTGTTGATAATCCCTGTGATTCATTTGTCAAGTCACCATGATCACATATATCTAATAGTTCCAATTCAACTGTCTGCGCTTGGAACAAATACAACAGTACACAAACAAAAACAGCAAGAGCATATATACATTTATTTTGTGTGATATTGCAACATGGCTTTGGTATCTACAACGTTAGTGCCTGGGAACTGTGCAACTGAGTTACAAAAAATGAAAAATCTCAAATTCTCATAATGTTTTAAAAATATTTTATTATTTTATGTGTATAAGTGTATTGCCTTCATGTATATAAGCATACCTATGTCATCAGTGCCCATGGAAGCCAGAGAGGGTTTTGGATCCCCTGGAACTGGAGTTATGGATGGGTTGTTCACCACCATATGGGTGCTGGGAATCAAACCTGGGCCTTCTGTAAGAGTAGCTAGTGCTCTTCTTACCCATGAGCCATCTCTCCAGCCCCTCTCATAGTGTTTTAAGTAAGTTTATAATTTTGTATTGCATTCATAACTATCCTTGGCTACCTGCAACTATGAGCTTCTGGTTGAAAACCCCTGGTTATTTCTTCTGGGCGCCCTTTATAAAATGCGAACAAAGTGAAAGTTGAGTTCAAGATAAAGTGAAGTACAGGAATGGCACCTGTGGGCTCATGGCTGGGCTGAGGGACAGGCTTCCTCCACTGCCTTGCACTGAACACATCCAAGCTTGTGCTTCAGAGAAATGTGTGATTGCTGGGTGTGTGGCTCTTCAGACTTCAAAAGATAAGACCTTGAGCACTTAGGGTTTGCTGTATTTTTTAAATTTCTTGATTTTAAAACGTTCATGCTGATCTTACCTTTTTTCTTTTCAATGAAAGTATTACGTGTGAGTGCAGCTTTTTTTATAGAGCGATTTTATGTACTGTGAGAAACTGTTCTTTTCAAGTTAGTGGAGAATTTAGATCCTTTGGATCTTCTCTAATAGCATTTTTTTTCACAATTTCTTATGACTCATAAGCAAATTCACTAGGGTGTAAGAATTCAATCTGAGCTTAGTAAGTTTTATTACTCTCAGATATTTGAATTAAGATGATAATAATAGAGTTCAAATTGAACTTTTTGGGTAAATTGAGGTTTTAGAAATTTCTAAATTTCCACGCTACCATCAACTCATGCTTTATTTCTTACCAAAAATTTGCTTCTTGTTTATACAGAAGGCCTCTAGGCATCAGCAGGGCCTAGCACAGTGCTTTACACAAAGCAGATATTTAGGGAATGCACTTGGATGAATGAGAGTAGTTAAGTACAGGTAAATTAGCAAATGAAGTAGATTTTTGTGCTGTCTTACCATTGGGTAAATTACTTTGAAAGAGATTCATGTCCAGGATCTGGGAAACATGTCTGTATTGTCTAATTATTTTGTAAGACTTCATCTCATTCTCTTTTTTGAAGTTACTTCCTCAACATATAATTTCAGCATTCTGGTCTCCACCTATTGAGCTTTCAGATTTGCTTTCCTCAGTCCTCAACAGTTTTCATACAGTTAAGGATATTGCACTATTATATCATCTTCAAGATCAATGCTTCACGACCACATTCTTCACATTTTCTTTTCTGTCAAACTGTTCATCTATGTGGGACGGGTTTTTGTGTAAGCAGAGAGTTTGCTGGCTGCATCACTTGAATTGCTTTTAAATGTGTTCAGGAATAGATTTTTTTTTCATATGGACCGCTTCACGAAATTGAGTGTCATCCTTGCACGGGGGGCCATGCTAATCTTCTCTGTATTGTTATACTTTTAGTATATGTGCTGCTGAAGTGAGCACAGGAATAGATTTTATAAAGAAACTATAAACTTCAGGAGAAAAGATAAAACTACTTTTCGTTTTGCTTTTTGGTGTTTAATGTTCTGTGTTCTACTGAGATTATTTCATGTGCTTCTGTTTATTTCTTACATATTTTATTCCAGGTACAGAGCAACGAGGGAAGACTGCAGCTCACTGTTGTTCTTGGTGTTGTTTTGTACTGAAGTGACCAATTTTAAATAAATATGTCAGTATGAAGCTTTAGTTTTCCTTCTACTTATAGTGTTTTCTTTCCATGTTTTTTTTTTCTTTTAAAGAGAAAAGGAAACCTGGTAATTTTTTTTATATAAATACCAGACTTTGATAAAATACTGATGTTTCATTACATTTTATTTCTGTATTATGAACAAATATATTTTATGTATATTAACTTATTGTCTTATCAATTAGTAGCTAAGCACTATTTCTGTCTTTTCCTACTCCTTCATGCTCAGTCCCTTCATCCTCCCCACCTTCCTCCTCAGCCTTCAGCCTCGTTCCTCTCTTACCACTTTGCACACTCTGATTTTCTTACTTATTCCTCTCCAGTTTTACTTAAAGAAGTTGAAATTTGAGAACTGAGGCTGGATATTTTTCTTTTCTTTTTTCTTTTATTTGGTAATGTTGGGGAGTGAACCCAGGATCTTGTGCATGTTAAAGACATCATGTCTTCAGCTGGATATGGTTTATAAAAGTAAAGACTAGTAAAGCTGATGTAGAACCAAGAATTACATCTGAAAATTGGATTGCTGGGGCTGGAAATATGGTTCATGGTTAAGAGCACTTGCTGCTCTTCCAAAGGACCAGAGTTCGGTTCCCAGAACCAACAGTGGGTGGCTCATAACTACTTGTAACTCCAGTGCCAGGGGTATCCAGCGCCCTCTTCTTGCCTCTGTGGGCACCCACATGCACATGCATTTACACACACACACACACACACACACACACACACACACAGGCACAAGAGTAAAGTAAATCTTTTGGTTTTTTTGTTTTTTAAACTTTTACAAAAACTTTATTGAGAATTTCATACATGCATATAAGGTGTTTTGATCAAATCCATGCCCCCTCCCTCCCCTCCAACATTTCCCCCTCTGAAGAGGTAACCCTAATATCTTTTAAGGATTAGATACAAGCTCCCAAATACTTTTGACATTTTTGGCCTTTGGAACAGGGTATGTTGGTAAGAGGCCCAAGGACATTTTGACTTTTAGCCAAGAAACTGGCTACATTTCTTGGGGTCTTTTTACCCTAACTGCCTAGCCAATTCCTACCTCCTATTCTTATCACACCATCTTCTGAAGAGGTTACCCAAATTGCTAATAGGGAATCGGGATGCAGACTGCTCTGGCTTCTTCCATGCTGAACAGAGCTGTGGGGTGAGGCAATTGGAGTACCCCTTCAGTGGGTCTACCTAAAAGCCTCCCAAGTTGCATAACTCTTGTTTCTAAGGGGAAAAGAAAGTCCTTGAATCATGAATAGGAGATATGAAGGAGAAGTAAAGGCAAGAGTAATTAGCATCACAAGTTTTAGACAGGGAACTAGAAAAAAGAACAGGGCAATTTTCAAATGTTCATATGAGAGTCCATTGGAGTTTCTTGACAAGGGCTCCCAAAAGCATCCCTCTGTTGGGTTCCTCCTCCTTTTTTCTTTTGTCTTCCAAGGCTGGACTAGTTGGCTGGGAAGAGTGGCTGGATACTCAGGTGAGGGTCCAGCGACCCTGCTTGGTACTCCTTTAATGAATGAGTACAACTATGAACAAGCCCAATTGTGACTATGTTTAGTGATCAGGCTCAGCTGAAGTCGTGATGATGGTAGTTATTTCATGCAGAAGAGACTGTTGTATAGCATCATCTTATTAAAAGGACCTGGAATTTAAAAGGATTTGGTGCTAGGAGCCACATATGAGGACGAACATACATCGTTTGTTTTTCTGAGTCTGTGTTACTTAGTATAACAGTTTCTAGATCCATCCATTTTCCTGCAAATGTCATCATTTCATCTTTCTTTATAAGTAAAGTAAATCTTAAAGAAAAAAAAGTATGTTTCTGCCAGAGAGTTTGAATTAGGAAGTTAGGTGGATATTGTCATGTAATTTATTTTATTCTGGCATCCTGCTCTTTTGCTTACACTTAGTAAAGTGAGTGTTACATAGAAAAATTCTGTGTTAACCATTTACTTTTGGAATTCTCTTTTTCCTGAATGTAGGCAGTGCCTTTTCTTTTTGCTAGCTTTAGACTAACTAAAGAAACCACCAAAACGGTAGGAAGACAGATCGATATTCTCTTTTTCTCTCTTCAGTCGAGATATACAATGTCATATTTCTTTATTTTCTTTTTCACTTTCTTCCTTCTGTTTTTTTTCTTTATGCTTTCTTTTAAAGAAAACTCTTCTCAGCTAGAATCAATTTAGTCAAAGTATTTTTGAGATAATTTCTACTGATAAGAAAAATTCCTTGCCAGGCATGGTAGCCTACACCTTTAATCTTCAGCACTCAGAAGGTAGAGGTAGGCAAATCTCTGTGAGTTTGAGGCCAGCCTAATCTCCATAGCCAGTTCCAGGCCAGTCAGGCTACCTCATGAGACCTTGCCCCCTCTCTAAAAAAAATATATTAGTAATAATAAAAGAGCAAAAAGAAAAATGATGACAGTTGCACTCAATTATGAATTTATCAGAAAGGCAACATGAAGATAGAAAATATAGCAAAAGTAGTAATATCTGTTTCCAAAGAGTACGCAGGAATTGGAGTTGGGTGCCTAGCTGTGATACTGTATCTAGAAAATTATGTAAGAAGATTCATAACAATAGAGACTTGTATTATGTAGTAGAGGGACAATATTCCCAAATTTTCTTTATAAAAATTAAAATTTACAGAAAATTTTCTGTATTTTATATATACACGTCTAAATATTATAACTTAAAACATGCCTGTTTTGAACAGAGTAATACATATGTATTATAAAATGTAGGAAATACAGGACCAGTGAGATTGCTCAGTGGGTAAAGGCACTTGCTACTAGGCCTAAATTACTTGAGTTCAGTCTCTGGGACCCATATGGTAGAAGGAGAGAACCAACTCCTACAAACTGTCCTCTGACTTCACATGTATACTGGGGCACACCCCCTTACCATGAATACATAAATAACTAATAAAAAATTGAAAACAGGAAATACAGAGAAATAATGTGGATAAAATTAGAAACATCTATAATTCCTGCATCTATTGAGATGACAATGTGGTTTTTGTCTTTGAGTCCATTTATATGATTGATGACGTTTATTGACTTGCGTATATTGAACCATCCCTCCATCTCTGGGATAAAACCTACTTGATCATGGTGAATGATCTTTTTGATGTGTGTCTATATGTGGTTTGCAAGTATTTTGTTGAGAATTCTTACATCTCTGTTCATTAAGGCTATGGGTCTATAATTTTCTTTTTTGGTTGTGTCTTTAACTTGGTTTGGATATTAGAGTGATGGTGGCTTCATAGAAGGAATTTGGGAGTTCTCCCTCTGTTTGTATTATTTTGAGTGCTTTAAGTAGTATTGGTTGGAGGTCTTCTTTAAATGTCTGGTAAAAATCTGCTATAAATCCATCTGGGCCTGGGCTTTTTTTAGTTGGGAGGCTTTGTATTACTATTTCAATTTCCCCATATGTTATGGGTCTGTTTAAACTATTGATCTCTTCTTGGTTTAATTTTGGTGGGTCCCATGCCTTTAGATATCCATCCATTTCTTTTAGGTTTTCAAATTTAGTAGCATATAGGTTTTTAAAGTATTCCCTTATAGTGTTCTGGATCTTTCTGGTGTCTGTTGTGATGTTTACCCTTTCATCTCTGATTTTGTTGATTTGGAGGTGCTCTTTCTTTCTTTTGGTTAATTGGGCTAGCGGTCTGTCAATCTTGTTTATCTTTTCAAAGAACCAGCTCTTGGATTTGTTGATTCTTTTTGTGTTGTTTGCTTTGTTTTGATTTCATTAATTTCTGCCCTGATTTCTGATTTTTGTTATTTCTTCTCTTCTGCTGGGTTTGGGTTTCATTTGTTAGGTTATTTGGGCTCTTTCTAAATTTTTAATGTGGGCACTTAGAGCAATAAACTTCCCTCTTAGGACTGCTTTTAAAGTGTCCCAGAGGTTGT